TTCTTTCAGCTCCTTGTATCGGCCGTTGCGGGGTTGCATCCGTGCTTTCTTTTATGTCCTGGTTGTATGGTTTGTTTCGATGTATCCTGACCGGTTGATGGCTTTGTTAATTTAAAGTCGGGCTATGCTCGAGCCCTACTCGGGCTCGGGTTATGCCTTTTCTCTAAAAACAATCTACTAGGTGGGCGGAGAGATTAGATGCAGCGAATTTTTTCAATCGCAGAAACTAAGGAACGACGAACGAGCGGATTGGAAACGAAATGACCGTGTGTCCATCATGGGTGGACTCGCTCGTTGTCGTGCGTATTGCTTCCAGACTCTTTGTCTTCCACATGGGCTGTTTTTCTTTTTCTTTTTACTCATATTAGGCCTTTTTTTGCGAGTTACTCATATTAGGCCTTGGCCTGCTGCACGTACATGGTTCTCTCTCTCAAAAAAAGTGTACGTATATGGGCTAGGCCTGTGGCTATGGGATGGCCGGATGGATTTCACACGGGGGGCGAGACAAGCAAGAATTCTGTGCGTAGGAAGAAAAATTATACGTGGTACCTATCGCTATTAAGGGGTAACGAGATCGTTAGTGCCCCCCCCCCCCTAGAATCATCCATGTAACTGCAAGAATAAAAATATATCACCCTAAAAGAAGAATAAAAATATATCTAGTCGGTCATATGTTTCAAACAGACCTATGTGTCTGGCCTTAACCCTCTCTAAACCAACCTGAGTGCCACGTACAGCAAAAGCGTCACTCTACCATTGATCTACCCCCTCCGTTTTATAATGTAAGACATTTTTTGACACTTACATTATGAGACAAAGGGAGTAATTTAAAAAACATCAACAAAAAGCACAACCAAAATTCATATTTGAATTTATTTCAAATTTGAAAAGAGGATGAATTTGATTTTAATATATTTCTCTCCAATTATTTTCAATAATAAAATAAATGAGAGAAGATAATATGACTTCTTCAACAGAAGAGAAATATTGGAGAAGAAATTTTAAAATAAAATTATTATTTTATTTGTATTTCATTTGCTATTTTATTTGAATTAGAGAAAACTTGCATTTTTAAAAATTTCATTTTAGTTCAGAAAAATGTTCATCTCGTCCTAAATATTAGGTTTGGACGGTGAAAATTGTTTCTGGAATTTTTAGATTTTTTAATATTTTTTCATTAGAATTTTCTCTGTGGCGAAATTATTTAAAAAAAACTGTCCCGGACCAACTGGGCTGAAACCCAGCCGGCCCACCCGCGCGCGTCGCCGTTCCCACGCCGGACTCCCTAGGAGTCCGAGCCGCCGGCGCCGTCTGACTTGGCCCCCCAAGCCGGGAACCCCCCGGGACCACCTTTATATACCGCCGCCGCCGCACCCTCCTCTCCCCCAAGTCGCCCCGCCGCCGCAGCTCGCAACCCCCGCCGCCGAGCCGCGCCGCCGCCAGCCGAGCCGCCGCCGCCGCACGCCACCGCGTCGCCGCCTGCGTCGCCTCGCCTTGCCTCGCCGCCGCCCCGTGCCGTCGCTGGAGCCGTCGGATCTCGCCGCCGTTCGCCGTCGGTCAAACCCGGCTAAACGGTATAAAACCGTTCGGTTTATTCCGGTTTTTTGGTTTTTAGGGCTAGATCGGTTTAGTTTTTTGTTTTAGTTTAATTTGTAAACGTTCACTCGTTTGTTCGGTTTAACGAACGGTTTTCGTTAGTTTCATTCTGTTAGCGAACGTTCACGCGGTAGATTTTTCTTTTTATTTTTATTTTCGATCAGGGACCTATCCACGAATAGTTTTATCGCGATTTAGCCCCTGATCTTAAAACTAGCGTAACTTTTTACGCGTTTGTCCAAATTAGATGAAACCAGCGCCTAAATCTTCAAAACAATCTCTTCTTTTCAGTTAACCAAGTTGAACGTGATTTTGACAATTTACCATTTGAGTTTAGTTCAGATTAGTAAATGATCTTATTTCGTTCGTATCTTGAGTTTCGTTTCTCCGTTTGAGTTGTTTCTTTTCTCAAATTGTAGCTAATCACTTGTGCCTACAGTTAAGATCTAATCCACATGATAATAATGCTGTTAGGATTTGTTTTGTGTTTAGTTAGCCGTTTGCTTGTTTCGTGTTTGATTTGGATCTTTTCTTGATTTCTCGTAGTTTCATTTGAGTGGTTGCTTACGTATGCTACTGTTTGTCTACGCTAGATTACCCGGAGTGTGAAGCTTGTTACTACGAATCTCTAGAGTTTGCAGATCGTCAGCAAGGCAAGTTACACTTTGATCATACTCTTTTATACCCAATTTTTACTATGCATTAGTATTGCTCCTCAAATATTTGCATGAGTAGGATTGGGAACATGTGGTTTGGTTGTAGTACTTGAGGTAGGAACCTAATAACTTTTGATCACCCCGGAAATATACGTTATGCTTCATTAATGCTTAGCCATGTTCGTAGATGGGGATTGGATCGTGATTCACATGGAAGTTATGAGAATTACTAATTTTGGATAACATTGGCAACTTTAATACACCTATGGGTGGATTGGTTGGGGCACCTGGGGAATTCAGTGTTGTCCATTAAGGGAAATCCCGGGGTATCCGTGTGATTTTTCTTTGGTTCGCCACCCAGGCTCAAAGGGATCATATGATATTTCATGACTAGAAACTTCTGTCTGCAGCCACAAGTCATTATGGGTTCTGACATACTTGAGTAAGTTGTATGAGCTCTTGAAGAGGTGGAGTAGCAGATGTAGAGGAAAAGTAGGTGTACCGGTCTTCCCGGAGTAGGGAGTTAATGCTTCAGAAAGACTATGTCTCGATCTTCCATCATGGATGCGGTCGAGTCTTGTGGGGAAAAGTGTGCAACCTCTACAGAGTGTATAAACTAATCATGATTAGTTGTGTCCTCGGTTATGGACATCTTGAGTATCTGGAATTGGATATTATTGTTGATCTCATCACTCTTTAATTAATTGATTGGGTTTAATGATGGTACTTATTTAATTGAGATTTTGAGTTGGGGGAACCTTCTCAAATATTGGAACAACTTGGGAGTAGTTAAATAAATTTATTCCTTTGTTGTAGGGAAAAACTAGCTTTATGCAAAATCTTTAAACTTAGAGCCTCCACCAGCCAAATATTGGATGTAGATATAGTTCTTGCATTCATTGCTTTACAGTGTAACTCTGCCAGCATATTCAATATGCTGACCTACACGGCTGCAATGTCTCATGTAGCAGACTACTCAGACGACGAATAAGGTGTTGTCGTCGTCTTGCACTCAGCTATGCCGTTGGAGTTGATGGACTCATTTGCCTTCGAAGCTTCCACAATTATTTAGTTTAGATGGCCTTAAACAATGTTATTTTTGTGTAATCATACTCTTTATGAGGACTCGATGTAATAAGTGTGTGATTGAACTCTGTTATAATTCATCGAGTACTGTGTGTGTGTCAGCATTACCAATCCAGGGATGACACTTAAATACAGAGACTTCGGTCCGTTGGGATCGTGGTCGCTATAATCAGGCTACTACATGGTCCAAACCAGATTATCCATCAAAAACAAAATACTATACCACGTGGCGTCATACAGACCGCTGCGTCAAGTGGCAGATAGATGTGTCATACATGCCATTGTTTGGCGGGGCGACAACGCCGGTCTGTTCGTGCGAGGGCATCACGCCGGGGCATTGATGTGGTGGTGATGGCTAGTTGCTAGCCTGGCGGCCAAGGCAGCATTAGGGGCTTTTGATGGCAATTTCTCCCTAGCGAACGTCGTCAGATAAACAGTCAAAATAAAACCAGGTTGGACTACGTGCTTGAGTGAGAAAAACGAGATATGATTTTCATGTTTGCTACTGCTTTTGTACGGAGGGCTCTCATAGCTACCCTTTTTTCACTTCGTTACAAATCTGGTGTCGGATTTTTTACCATGACAGATTGAACTATTTTTTATGGCAATTTGTGTTTACTGAGGATGACAAGTTTAGTTGGCAAGCATGTCAAATCCACCTTAGTTTTTTTGCCCGAAAATTGTCATGCTCGTAAGCTAAATTTGACATCCCCAAGCCAACTAAAGTTGCTATGAAAACGTTTGATTTGTCATGCTAAAAGTCAGACATCAGATTTTAAAAAAAAAATCGTGAGGTGCTCCCATGGCTACGGTTGTGCATAGATCGAGCGTAAGTTATGATTGCTACTACTTTGTGCGGTGAGAAGAGGATAAGAGACACAAGAAGAGAGAAAGTGAGTGAATGGAACATATTTTCTGCTCTATGTACTATTACTCCGGGCATGTGTGTTGCCGTTGCTTCAAGTTTCACTATTGGGTCAACTATTTAATATTTTGACTATTTGAATTATGAATTACGGGGTGCACCTAGAATAATAAAGTTCGACCCACTAAGTGATCACCAAACAATTTCGTAAGCAACTATTTGTTCATGCATAGCTCTAGGAAGAAAATGATGCAACAAAGCGCGCGTGCCAAACACTTCTAGTATTATCACTATCGATACTAGAATTGTCTTTCTCTTTGTTTCTTGTGCTTATATTTTACTCCCTCTGTCTCATAATATAAGAGCGTTTAAAACGCTCTTATATTATGAGACAGAGGGAGTAGATAAGTTGGGTGCACCACAAGTCAGGGAAGTACACCAAATGCTCTCTTCTTGATAGATTTATTGGTGTGTTATTTTTAAATTTGTTGCATCGGTGATGTGCTGAACCTCTCAGCGTCAAGATGACAATATGAGGCGAGGTGACAGAAGAATCTTCAGCAGCGGTGTTGTTCTTAGCCCTCAAACCCCAACCCGGAGCGCAGAGCACTTAGAAGTCTTGTTTATAACCCATAAAACATAAAGAACATACATAACTAAGCACACAAAACGAATGCTAAACTTAAAACAAACACTTACTCGAAGAAACTACTAAAAACAAGAAATGAGCCAACATGTGCCGAAGAAGAACTCGGTGGCCAAGAATTATTCCTCCACGTTAAGCCCGAAAACTGCAATCAGCAAACCAGGCTGTGCTTCTTCCTCGCAACGAAGGTCCGCCAGTAGGTGGTCACCTCCTTCTCAATTTGGTGTGCTGTCTTCTTCACATGCTCGTGATGCCCATGCTTCTTGGCATGCGCGTCCATCTCCACCATGACCTTCTTGAGGTCGGTGATGAGGCGCTCGGCCAGGCCGCGGCTGAAGTCCTCACGGATGACCACACGCATGACGGCGATGTGCTCGGCGTCGGCGGGCATTGTGTATGCCGGAACAATCCAGCCGAAGCGGCGCAGGCTCTCGACCACCTCGAACACCGTGTAGTTGGACGAGTCCTTGAGGGAGAAGGCCACGAGCGGCACGCCCGAGTCCTTGGACACCAGGTGAAAGTAGCCCATCTTCTCGACTCCCTCCCGGAGCACCGTTGCGTTGTCCCGGCAATTTTGCATGATGTCCTTGTAGCCCTGCATTGCATTTTTGCATCACATAAATAGTTTTTCAAACATAAATTGCTTTATTGACTGCTACCTAAAGTTTTTTTTAGAAAAAATAGAGAGGTTAGCAATGTGAAAGAACATGCCGATGGCATGGGCAAAATACAAGCAGGATCCTAACAAACTAGACGTCCACCTGAAATGCATGAAGTGCATGGACCACTGGTGTTTCTTCGCTTGCAGAGACAAAGCTACAACACATGTTTGTTGCGTTGCTTGCAGAAACAAAACCAGCATAAAGCACAAGGCAAAGGATGCCCGTCAGAGATTTGCAACAACACATTACACATGTGCAGATATTCATCAGTGATTTGCAACAGTAGTGCAACACTTTGGGAAATAAAACCCCAACAAAAACGAACAACTGTAGAAAAATCGTGGTTAATTACCTCGAATCCGAGACGGATGAGTTGATAATACTGCGCAATGATCTGGCTCGAACCTGTCCAACAGAGCAGCACATGAAGAGCACATCAACTTACTGGAAAAACTAACCAATGATCGACGCCCGAATCCGAGACGGATGAGTTGATAATACTGCGCAATGATCGACGCGCACGGTGTTGTACCTTTGGAGAAGTTGAGCGTGAAGGTTGGCTGGTCGGCGCCGAGGTAGTTGATGTGGAAGATGAGCTCGTCGGGCAGGTCCTCCTTGTTCCTCCAAATCACCCACCCGACGCCGGCATATACGAGGCCGTACTTGTGCCCGCTGACGTTGATGCTCTTCACCAGCGGCAGCCGGAAGTCCCACTCCAGCTCCGGGTAGATGAAGGGCGCGATGAACCCGCCGCTGGCCGCGTCCACGTGAATCGGCGTGTCCCACCTGATCAATCGACGGAACCAACAGATCGATCAATCATATCTCTACCATATCTGCAGTTTTTGGCATAAGATTAACGCGTACCCTGTCTCTGCATTCTTGGCGACGAGGAGGTCGTTGAGCCTCTTGACGTCCTCGAACTCGCCGTTGAGTGTGGAGCCGAGGATGGCGGCGACGCAGATGGTGTTCTCGTCGACCAACTCTACGGCCTTCTCGGGGTCCATGACGTAGTACCCTTCCCTGAGCTTCACCTCCTTGAGCTCTACCTCGAAGTACCGCGCGAATTTCTCCCAACACACCTACAAAAGCAAGACATCCAGTGATTGGATCCGGTGGTTGAATTATCCTGCCGGTGATCCAGCCGGCATGCACTGCAAATGTCTCAGTAATGTGACTGTGTGCTCGATTCGCAATTACCTGGACATTTGCGCCGGTGACGATGTTGGGCTTGTCGTGGGGCTTGCCCTCGGCCTTCATCTTGTTCTGCCACTTCCTCTTGAAGGCCAGCCCGGCCAGCATGATGGCCTCCGAGGAGCCGACGGTGCCCACCCCGACGGCCGTCTCGTCCTCGCCGATGGGCGCGTTGAAGAGATGCGCGATCATGTTGACGCACCGGTTCTGTTTCAAATCCACAAACAGTAACATACGTCGCCGGCCGTAGTCGCGTAAAAATTGCATCAAAAACGAAATGATAGATACCTGGAACTCGGTGGTGACGGGGTACTCGTCCATGTCGACGTAGTTCTTGTTGACGGAATCCTGGATGAGCTTGTCGCACTCGGGCTCCATCCAGGTGGTGACGAAGGAGGCGAGGTTCAGGCGCGGGTTCCCGTCCAGCATCAGCTCGTCGTTGATGATCTGGTACGCCGCGTCCTTGGGGATGGACTGCTCCGGCATCCTGAACCTCGGGAGCGCGGTGCGCACGTAGCGCGACGCGAAGGTGGAGGAGATGAGCGACTCGCCGGAGCTCGTCTGTGCCCTGGACAACGCCATTTGACGCGGCGGCCGGTGGCTAGCTGGACCAGTTCGCCGTTGTGTCGTACGAGAAGAGAGGGTGAGCAGTGGGTGTCACAGGCAGGTCGACGCAGCAGATCGAGTTGGAACTAATTAATGGTGGCTCTTGTTCTATAAGAGAGGACGGTGCGCATGGGCGCGACGTGGTGGAGGCGCCACGGTTCTTGGGGGATGGGGCTTCCACGCCATCCGCTCGCACGTCCGGCCTCCTGCACGGCTTCCGCCGCTGGACTCGGGTGCATTCCTTTTCTTGCTTCTCTCGCCCGATCTGCTGTGCTCGTAGCTGTGTGCCTGTTGCTTCTGTGTTTCGAATACTGTTTTGGTTTTGTCTTTTGCGTTCTGAATTACGGCTATATATATCATCTCGATGGAAAATGCAATGCCGGAGGCGCTTAGTCACGCTTAGGCATTAGGCAATGACCAAACGGCCTCCCGTAAGACATAGGCGAAACTCTAGACATGCAAGCAAAAAATTGTCCACAGAAGTGTGAAATCATGCCATGTTACACCAACAGACCAAATTGACCACCTTCCAATTGCAATAGCTGGTAGCTTACTCATGTATATTCTCTAAATCGATATCGATACATAAAATTTCAAAAAATTCCAAATACAGCCTGATAGTAAAAACTGTAGATCCTTGTACAAACATCACACAAATTTGACTTGCTTAGAGCATCTCCAACAACTGCCCAACGCGCGGCGCGTTAAAAAAACGTTTGCAGCGCGCCGATCGTCTGTTTTTGTGCGGCGCGAAGCACTAGCTCCAGCGGCCGCTGTAAACTTTAGCGCGCGTGGTAGCTCCAGCAGGCGCTACAAAAATACTACGCGCGCTCTCGCACAAACAACATATGCACTCCAAACACAACCAAGAAGATCAAACACAAACAAAATAAATAACAATAAATAGTTAAATTTCGTTATTACAACTCAGCCAAATAGTTTATCTTTCAATACAACAAATACTTCAACAATACAATATCAAACGTACAAATCATGATGCTCTTTGTCGGTCATTCCATGCCCACCACTCCTCGATGAGATCCTTCCGAAGGTCATCATGCGTTTCGACACGTGGAATGGCATGATGGGAGGCAATCAAACGGGCCACCGTGGCTGCCCTCAGCCGCACTCACACGGGATGTCCCACGAGCTCATAGTGAGAGTAATCTACATCTTGGCCACACTCATTCTCGATGATCATGTTGTGCATGATCACACAAGCGTGCATGATGTACCAAAGCATCTTTTGATCCCAAAATCTAGCCGGTCCTCTCATAATAGCAAATTGTGCTTGCAAAATTCCAAAAACTCTCTCCACATCTTTTCTAGCCGCTGCCTGAGCATTGTGGAAATCAAGATTTTTCTTACCTTCCGGTTTTTTCAACGGCTTCACAAATGTTTGCCACTTTGGATAAATGTCATCCGCAAGATAGTAGTCATAGTTGTATGTACGGCCATTTGCTACAAACTACACCGGTGGCAGTTCACCATTTGCAATCTTATTCATCAGTGGTGACCGATTAACAACGTTGATGTCATTCAAAGATCCGGGCATTCCAAAAAAAGCATGCCAAATCCAAGTCTCTTGATCGGCCACCGCTTCAAGGATTATAGTGAAACACTTTTTTTGGCCATGGAATTGGCCATGCCATGCCTTAGGATAATTCTTCCAACTCCAATGCATGCAATCTATTGAGCCAAGCATACCTGGGAAGCCGTAAGCTTTGTTCATCTCCAATAGCCTTGTGGAGTCTTCGGCATTGGGAGATCTCAAATACTCCTGACCAAACACTTGCATAATTCCGACTGCGAAGTGCTTGACACACATGATGGCTTGACTCTCATCCATGGCCAAGTGATCATCAACTAGATCAGCGGGGATACCGTATGCCAACATACGCAAAGCGTCTGTCACCTTCTGAAAGGTGCTATGCCCGAGCTCTCCGGCGACATTCCTCCTTTGCTGAAAAAACCGGTCATGGCTCGCTAGTTTTTCTGCAATGCGTCTGAACAACTCGGCGCTCATCCTAAACCGGCTCCGAATGTACGACTCGGGGTACACGCGAGGATCCGCAAAATAGTGCCTGATCAATCTATTGTGGGCATCAATCCTATCCCTCCAAATTTTCTGTCGACCCATAACCGAACCGCCATGCTTCGGTTTTTTATTGATGTGCATAGCTAGAATCATTGCAAGATCCTCCTCCTCTTCAATATCAAATTCTTCTTCAGAAGAATCATATGACGAACTCATCTACAATGTTCAATTTAAACTAGGCTATAAAAACTACAAACAACATGCACCAAATTCATGTAAAAAATGTGAAGTTGAAGCAATACATACCTTGCAAGCATTTTGTCGAACACCTTGCGGGCACCGAGCGGCAGTGCGCGGCCGGGCGCTGTTTGTCGGAGGAATGTCGCGCGCGAGGGGCGGCGGCGACTAGAGGGAGATGGAGGAAGCAGAGGCGGCGCGGGATACGCTGGGGAAGCGCCGGAACGGTCGCCGGAACAAATGGATGGCGCGGGCGGCTGGATGAGGGTAGGTGGAAGTTGCGAGCGGACGCTCGAGTGTCCAACGCGCGAGAGCGGGCGCAGCAAATAAACGGCGCGCGATGGCGTTTCGGCCCGCGCGCTGAACTAGTTATCCCGCGCGCATGGTTTTTGCGCCCCCGTTAGAGCGCCCAGAGCGATAGCGCGCGCAAAAACCACTAATTTTTCAGCGTGACGCTTATATAGCGCGTCTGTTGGAGATGCTCTTACCTTGAGACCGTTCCAATCTTTGGTTGACCAGGTCAAGGTCCTTCTGAGACCTCTCGAGCTTCTGATTCATCTCCGCTATCTCCTTGGAGACGGAGCCAGGAACCGTGGTCAAAACCCGTCAACAGAACCCCTTATTACAACGCCCACAGTCCAAACACTTATCCAGGACGACTGCCTAAAGCAACGACCTGGGGGCTACATGAAAAACTCCTGTTAATTCATACGAGCCCAACGCGGGTTTCTCGAAACCACCTTTGGGATCGGGGGCTACTCACTCACTAAGCTGTTTATAAGGTTATAAAACATGTCTTCGCACAAGCGCATAAATCTTTAATAATATTAAAATAAGGGATAGAAGTGTACCTCAAAGCTCATCACAAGGCTCTTAAAAGCCTCATGCAGACCGGCCCTTGCGGACCGGAAATCCTGCAGCGCCGCGCCTATTAAGGCACGGTCCTCTTCCTTAATGAAGGAACCCTTCAAGGTCTCCTCCATCTCCTCGGTCCACTCCGTGTCGGCCCGTCCTTGGGCACTTGGCGGGGGTGGTGGGATGACCTCATACCTAGGCACCGACGTGCCGGGCCGAGCAGGCTCCACCTGCGGTGGCGGAGCTGAAGCAGATATTGGCTGAGCCAGCGACTGGCCCAACCCCTCCTTGTTGACCTAGGGAAGTTTCTTTCCCAGGTTTTGTTGGACCGAGGTGTCGACCTCGGCCACAACGGTCTCCTCCTCGGCCCCCGTCGCGTCGACATCAGGGGCCAGGTGTTGGGGAATACAGTAATTTCAAAAAAAATCCCCGTGCGATGGCCGCGTCCTCCCTGAGCGCCGCTGCCTACGCCGAGAGCGCGGACGCCTACACCGAGAGTGCCGCAGCATTCGGATTGAGCGCGGCCGCTTCTGCCGAGAGGGCGTCTGCGGCAGCCGACAGGGCAGCTGCAAACGCCGAGAGTGCTCGAGCTGCCGTTCGTGCCACCGATGTCGCCCTGGCCCGGGTCGAGGCCATCCACGCCAAGATATTCGAGGCCACCTCGGAATCCAGCATGCAACCCACGTCCGAAAAGGCGACGATGGCAATGGAGCACCTGCTTCCTCATGAGGACGTCGAGCGGGAGCTGGAGATGCAGGAGGTGGCGGAGATCGAGGAGCGCCAGGAGGAGGAGTTGCGCGTGGCCCAAGTCAAGGTAGAGAAGAGTCTGTCCGTCGAGGAATCGGTGGTGGAACCACTACTACGAGTAGTACAACCTTGAGGGCTAGGACGAGGACGAGGACATAGTCGACTTTAGCAGGGGGGCGCAGAGTCCACCAACGGCGGCATGTCGCCAGGACAAGTCATCGACATCTCATCTCACACCGGTGATGCATAGGCTGGCACGGCGACGGATTTGTTAAAATTATTCGTACTTAGGCTTTATTTTTAATGATGGTCTTTTGTTAGAGCAATGTTTAGGTGAACTATCTCTGTTTAATTAATAAAATTGCTCGATTCAGTAAGTCTGGTCTGTGTGCTGTACGCTCTTTTGTTTGCCCAAATTAGCAAGCGATGTTAAATTATGCAATTACGTATGCGGGGAAATTTCCACCAAAATTTCAATTTTTAAACTCATCCCATGCGCGTTAAGCAGAAGAATCGTTTGCGATGCACACTATCGTTCAAAGTGAATGGTGTCCGGTGGCACCGCGCGCAAAGTTTCCCTCCACATTTCGAAATTTTTGGCCTACCGCCGAAATATCTACCCTCCCCCTCCCCATCCCCTTTTCTCCCTGACCACAAGTCACATTTCCCCTATTTCCCCCTTCCTTCCTTCCTAAGCTATAGCCGCTTCCTCGCTTGCTTCCTCGCTCTCGCTGTCTCGCTTCCTACCGCCGGGTTCGCCATGGTCATCTTCAAAGACCTCTCCAGCGGTTCCTACTCCGACGATGACTCCACCACCTGGGTATGCCTCTCTTCTCTCTCTCGGGCTATGACTTTGATTGAAGGATTTTTACCCGACGGTTGATTTGAGTCATTTCTTCCTCTTGTAGTTCCCTAGGACCTTTAGTTGCAACGAATGGAGCAGGGTGGCTGAAGATCTGTCTGCTCGTTGTCACCATCAATCTCCATGCCTGAAGCTAGTTGCGTTTGAATCTGTGGACAGTGGGAGAAAGTTTCTGGCATGTGCAGAGAAGGTTAGATCCTCTTTCATTGTTACAAATTATTTGTTAGATGTGATTCA